AAATTTGCTGCTTCTGACTACTTGTCAATGACAACATTCGAGGAAGGTTTAAATTGATTAATTTTATGATAAACTGAGTCAATTCCATTAGCATGGTAGATATCTTGGCCTTTGTCTAAGTGTTTTGTGGTTCTTGAAACTATTTTGGGCATTTAGTGGTAAGAACTTATGATAGCATCTCATATAATGAATGAAGATTATGCAGAATTGTTGATTGCGGGCATTTTACTGCATAAAGTGACTATGTTCAAAATTCAGATAAACTGAGTCAATTCTTTTGTATTATTTGCTTCTTTTGTTGTTTCTTTTTGCCTCATTTTACTCGATTCACCAACTAAGATTTTGCTAACTTTGGACTCGTTAAATAGGTAGCTGACATGTTTCCTCATGCTTGTCGACAGGAGCAACTTCCTTCCTTTTCACTGAATACCAGTATGTTGGAGTCTTCATGGCTGTTTTCGCGGTGCTGATCTTCCTCTTTCTTGGATCCGTGGAAGGTTTTAGTACAAAAAGCCAGCCATGCACCTATAGCAAGGATAAGTTCTGCAAGCCAGCACTTGCAAATGCCGTCTTTAGCACTGTGTCGTTTTTGCTTGGTGCTATCACCTCTGTGGTGTCTGGATTTCTTGGGATGAAAATTGCAACATACGCCAATGCAAGAACAACTTTGGAGGCAAGGAAGGGTGTTGGAAAAGCATTTATCACTGCGTTCAGGTCCGGTGCAGTCATGGGCTTCTTGCTGGCTGCAAATGGCCTTTTGGTGCTTTACATTGCAATCAACCTATTCAAGTTGTACTATGGCGATGACTGGGAAGGCCTTTTTGAAGCCATCACTGGTTATGGTCTTGGTGGCTCCTCCATGGCTCTTTTCGGAAGAGTAGGTGGTGGTATCTACACAAAGGCAGCTGATGTTGGTGCTGATCTGGTTGGTAAGGTTGAGAGGAACATCCCTGAAGATGACCCTCGAAACCCAGCTGTAAGTTCTGCATCCAAAGCTTGTTATCGGTGACCTTCTATTGTTTTCTGCCCTAACCAATCATCTAAATGCGAATTACAGGTGATAGCTGACAATGTTGGAGATAATGTCGGAGATATTGCAGGGATGGGATCTGATCTTTTTGGCTCGTATGCTGAGTCCTCATGTGCTGCCTTGGTCGTCGCCTCAATTTCTTCCTTTGGAATTAACCATGACTTCACTGCTATGTGCTATCCCCTGCTTATTAGCTCCATGGGTATCATTGTTTGTCTGATCACTACACTTTTTGCTACTGACTTTTTCGAAATAAAGGCGGTGAAAGATATCGAGCCTGCACTTAAGAGGCAGCTCATAATCTCCACTGCTCTTATGACTGTTGGTATCGGAATCGTCAGCTGGATAGCTCTCCCATCTTCCTTCACAATCTTCAATTTTGGTGAGCAAAAGAAAGTGAAGAACTGGTGAGTAGTATACAAACTCGGTCGCTTATTAGAGTAGTAGGGTTTTAAGCAACACCTTACCTCCTGTAGTTGAATTGCTAGGGAGCTGTTCTTCTGTGTTGCAATTGGATTATGGGCCGGTTTGGTTATCGGGTTTGTCACTGAATATTTCACAAGCAATGCGTACAGGTTAGGAACACTTTCTAATATTATTCCTTCCATGGATTGTATCAAACTGCGATAGGTTGTCGGCTCTCTTCTTACACTGTCCTTTTTGCAGCCCTGTGCAAGATGTTGCTAACTCATGCCGAACTGGTGCTGCCACTAATGTCATCTTTGGGCTTGCTTTGGGATACAAATCTGTCATCATCCCCATTTTTGCTATCGCAGTTAGCATTTTTGTGAGTTTTAGTCTTGCCGCCATGTATGGCATTGCAGTTGCTGCTCTTGGCATGTTGAGCACCATTGCGACTGGGCTAGCGATCGATGCTTATGGTCCCATCAGTGACAATGCTGGAGGCATTGCTGAGATGGCCGGAATGAGCCACAGGATTCGGGAGAGAACCGATGCGCTGGATGCCGCAGGCAATACTACCGCAGCCATCGGAAAGGTGCCGTTAGCTTTACATAATTCGGTTCAATTATGTTATCATATCTACTTAGAAAGACAACTTATGTTATGGAGGTAGTGAGCAAAGCTGTTATGAAATCATCATGCCAAACTCAAAATGATGCTTTCTGGTTTGTTTGTTGATTATTACCTGGCATTCATAATGATTTGAATGCTTTCTCTTTGTTATGCTTTTCTTGATTTATGTATGCTTTGATCTAATCATGTATCTTGCTAGAATGTAGTTTATGAATCTTAGGCTTATATATATCTAACCTGCCCTCTTAGGGGTTTGCCATCGGTTCTGCTGCGTTGGTGTCGCTTGCGCTCTTTGGTGCCTTTGTGAGTAGAGCTGCAATCTCCACAGTGGATGTTCTCACACCAAAAGTCTTCATTGGGTTGATCGTTGGTGCAATGCTGCCTTACTGGTTCTCAGCCATGACCATGAAGAGCGTCGGTAGAGCAGCCTTGGAGATGGTCGAGGAAGTCCGCAGACAGTTCAACAGCATCCCGGGGCTCATGGAGGGTACTGCCAAGCCCGATTATGCAACCTGTGTTAAGATCTCCACAGATGCTTCCATCAAGGAGATGATTCCTCCTGGTGCTCTGGTGATGCTCACCCCCCTAATTGTCGGGACCTTCTTCGGTGTCGAGACCCTATCTGGGGTTCTTGCCGGTGCCCTTGTTTCTGGAGTTCAGGTATGTGGAAAGTAGCTAGCATAATGTTTTCATTATGAGAATCTTGTGCGTATCGTGTCGATAATTGTTCTTGTTTGTTAAACAGATTGCTATCTCTGCATCAAACACTGGCGGTGCATGGGACAATGCAAAGAAGTATATCGAGGTAATTTTATTGATATCTTCTCATCTTGATGATGTTCTTCCGTCCGAACACAAACGCAACCATTGTTGATGTCAATAATGTATCATTCAGGCCGGTGCATCAGAGCACGCGAGAGCACTTGGCCCTAAAGGTTCCGATGCCCACAAGGCTGCAGTGATCGGCGATACCATCGGGGATCCTCTAAAGGACACGTCGGGGCCGTCGCTCAACATCCTCATCAAGCTGATGGCGGTGGAGTCGCTCGTGTTCGCACCATTCTTTGCGGCTCACGGCGGCCTCCTCTTCAAGATCCTCTGAGATGGGAGAGGGGGGGGGACCGAGAGTGGGAAGGAGGCACCACCACGAGCTCCACTTCCACCTCCATGTTCTTCTGCTACTGATGCCAAACCTCTGTCACCCTGTCAACTGTTTGGCCTACCCAGTTTTCCGTCTTTATGGTTAGTTCGTGTTGTAGTTCCATGCAAGTCGGCACCTGCAAAGCCCCATCGTGGACTTTGGAGCCAAGCAAGCTTTTCTTGTACTCGGTGATGATGATAATGGTGTTGACAGTTTTCTTTTCTTTTAAATGGTGATGATAGTTGGAAATGATTCACCAATAAGTTTTCTGCTGGCCATAGCTACAGGGAGTTGGGTGTCTAATGTCATCATCATACATGATGCAGCCCAAGATTTGAAATTAAGATTAATTGATTTTATTAATCATCATACAAAGCATACGTGATTGATTTCGTAAAGGTCAAAAAAGAAAACTCAAAGCCTACAAAATTTGCTTGAGTAATTATGTTATTGTTTTCTCACCTTATTAGGTGTTCGGGTTACTTCCAACCCGTATTTATATCCCCAACTCATATCGAGCTTTGGTTTTGTATCCGAGTCATACTCAAGTCTTAGTCTTGGTTTGTATCCAAGTTATACTCTTGAGTTTTGGTTTGTATCCGAGTTATACTCTTGGGTTGTACTCGAGTCATATTCGGCATGACTCAAGTCATATTCGGCTTGTATTAAGCCTTGGTTCAATTAAGATTGGATCGGTACCACAGTGAAGGAAAAGAAAAAGAAGAGAAAGCGATTGAGAAAAAAATAAGAAGAAAAAAAATATATACCATAATGAAGGAAAAAAGCTCAATCTGTATCCGTCGAGTCTTCGACTCATATTGAGCCTTGGTTCGATTAAGATCGGATCGGTACCAAAACGAAGAAAAAAAAAAAGAGAAGACGATAAAAAAAAATAAGAAGAAAAAAAGAAAAGGTACCATAATGAAGGAAAAAAGCTCGATCTATATCCGTCGAGTCTTGGTTTGCATCTGAGTCATATTCGACTCATTGAGCCTTGGTTCGATTAAGATCGGATCGGTACCAAAGTGAAGGAAAAAATAAAAAAAGAAGAGAAGACGATAGAGAAAAAAAATAAGAAGAAAAAAAGAAAATGTACCATAATGAAAGAAAAAAGCTCGATCTGTATCCGTCGAGTCTTGGTTTGCATCTGAGTCATATTCGACTCATATTGAGCCTTGGTTCGATTAAGATTGGATCGGTACTACAGTGAAGGGAAAAAAAAAAAGACGATGAAAAAAAAATCCAAAGAAAAAAATAAAGAAAAAAAAAATGAAAAGTTACCATAGTGAAGAAAGAAAAGCTCGACTTGCTTCTGAGTCATACTCTGAGTCTTGGTTTGTAACCGAGTTATATTCGACCCATATCGAGTCTTGGTTCGATTAAGATTGGATCGGTACCACAATGAAAGAATAAAAAAGAAGAGAAGGTACTATAGTGAAGGAAAAAAAAAAGAAGAGAAGATGATGGAAAAAAAATCCGAAGAAAAAAAGAAAAGAAAAAGAAAAGGTACCATAGTGAAGGGAAAAAAAAAGAAGAGAAGAGAAAAAAAATTTAAAGAAAAAAATAAAGAAAATAAACGGAGAAGAGAATGAGACAAAAAGAAGAAAGAGAGAGAGAGAGAGATTACTATTGACATGAAAGAGATATATAACATACATTACACAATTTTACCAAAAAATATTGATGACAAATTTGCATAATTATCCAAGAATCGCATGTAAAAACTCTTAGTAAGGATAATGTTATAATGTACTCTAAATCTCTTAGTAATAGGGCATCACAAGAACACAAGTCACTTTTAAGCTGTCATCAGCATCAACTATATGGCAAGGATAATGTATTATTGTCCATTGTCGTGGGTGATAAGCATATTATCTCAAGATCAACAAAGAAAAAGGAAAAAAGAAAAAAAAACTTGTAACTCGATTGATCTCTGGGACGACAAAATTCAGAGGTGAAATGGAAGAATAATGCATTACCTCGATGAGGTATGGACCTTCCACTGGGGAAATATCATCACAGCAAACAGCTCTTGAACCCCTTTTCCAACTCCTCAGCATTTAGATTCTTTCCTATAAATACGATCTTGTTGACCCTGGGTTCTTCTGCGCCCCACAATCTATCGGGGGAACCCTGGAAAATGTCATGAACACCCTGTCGAAGGGGAAATGGCACGTCAAATTCAGTTGCAATTTTCTGAGCCTCTACAACTTGTGCTTATGGTAACTTTAAGAGAAAGTTAATTACATTAGTATTTAACAAACAAGCAACCAGAGAATTATCCGAACACACCTGAAACACAAATCGCTCATGCATGCCATCAACAGACAGGAGACCTTTCATTCGATAGATGTCATCGCTACGTTCAATCAACAATGTTCCCAACCACATATTTGCCTGCAGAAGGTGTTGTATAATGTTATAACTTTTAAACACTCCAACAAAAAATAACAATATATATTTCAATTTCTTGGTAACTATCACTGTTTTGTATAAGGCATCAGAAGAATGGAAACCGGAAGCAGACCTTGTTAAGATCCAGGTTCCCTTCACAGACAATGCTCACAGATGAGACACCAGGATCATGGGTGTGATCATGAGCATGAGAATGAGAATGATGCTCTGCAATCGATGATCGAGAATACCTTTTAGATAACTGCAGTGTACTTCATAAACATAGATCATCTTTAGAGTAGTCCCAAGTTAACAGTTGCACAACGTACCATGTTCATGGTCATGCTCATCATGGTGGTGATGATCATGGTGATGATGATCATGATGATCATGATCGTGATCATGGTCTTCAGTGGAAGCTTCAGCATTTACAACGCTCTCAATCCTGAAAAGGTGACAGAAAAATATGGGATTATCTCACAAGCAGGTACTAAAAGATCAGATAACCATCTACCAGATCATCATGTTCTCACATCAAAAATGAGAAATAAAGTATAAAAGTAATCTAGTTAATGTTCATACTAACATCACATTGGAAGACATGAACACAAGCACATACAAGAAAGATGCATGGACATATACATCACATATAATCTTAACAATGACTAGTTTATTAAGATCGCAAGCAGAAACAATAAATGGAAAGAGAGGATTGGTCTTAGTTTCTGCTTACATAATGGATCTTGAAGAGGAACTAAGCCATAAATTTAACAATCAGCTTAAAATGGTACAGTACCAAAAATGAAGGTTGGCATCTAACAAACTTGTAGATTCCAATAATAGTTTCAGAAATTGGGAATACAATTAAAAAACCTTTTCTTTGTCAAACATCTCTGTGCTCTTCTATATATAAAGATGGTAACCAAGTTGCATTTACAATAATCAATTCAATTGCAGGTCATTCAAACTCCAAGTTCCAATGAGAAAAGCAAGTGTGTCCAAATATCTACATGCAGAAAAGTCCAACATGCACAAATATATACTATGGTAAACACCAACCACCAGACAAAAATATAAAGTTAGTCAAACCGGTGATCATCTTCACTTTATTAAGTCATACGCAATCTAAGTAACTCGAAAGAAGATAAGAGAAGGACAAGAACCTCTCCAGATCAAATCCACCAACCCCAAGAACATAATCCAAATCAACTTTTCCGTATTCTGCTCGCTTTAAATAGGCCATGCTATTAATGTTCTGCATTCAAGAATGTTAATATCATGAACCATGTGAAGTCTCTGAAAGAGTATATATCAGTAGTTATACAAGGTACCAAGTTATAAGGCTTAACCTTTATCCGCTGAATCAATGAGGATACGTCAGACTCCCCAACAAGATCAATCTACAATCATACAGAGCAAATTTAGTTTCATAATCAGCAAGTTTACAGCATTTATGAAAGAAAGTAAATGAGTTATGTACCAGATATGTTACCCTAAAATTGAGCTATGAGAAGAAGTTAGAATGAGCTGGTAACAGTATCACTATGTATCCACTAGGCTAACAAGATAAAAAATGGCTCTAATGCAAAACAACTGTTAAGTTACTTGGACCCAAAGAAATAACCCGAATTATGACATAGTCACAATGATATGCTTACTAATTCTTATTTTTCCATTGAAATCAGCATTTAAATCATGATTATTGGCATAGATTTACATGGTATACACTTAATCAAATCAGGCAATCATTTACAGAGTCAGTAAACATGCAAGCAAAATTATTAACCAGAAGGCTAGAAGCCTAGAACCATGATTTCCACATTAAAAAAATGGATCATTGTATTAACTTTCAAATACCATGATATATATATTTGCAATAATGGATTGCTGAACTATGCATGTATCAAGAGGACTTTATTCAAGTGAAAAATTATTAATACCTAAATGGAAATATTAAAATTTTAGTCTCCAATAAAAAAGATATATATTGTCTAAATAAACAATATTTTGGTTACCAGTTTTGCCTCAAAATTTTTGTTAGAAGGCAATCCTTGACGCCGCCATGAGGTTGCTCCTTTGTGACCTAGGTGACTAAGGTTCAGTCACAAAAACCACCTTCTAATTACAGGATAAAGTTGTATGCACAAACCCACAACTTGTGCACTGGGCTGCCCTTTGGATTTGCCTCAAAATTTATTTGTTGTTAGTGGTCATCTTTCTAGAACAGAGCATCTAAATCTATCTTGCAAATCAAACTCATAATTTGAGTTGAATAACACTAAACAAAAACAGGAGAACAAACACACATTGAATAGATGCAAGGGTTTCAAAAAGTTGATGCCAACTGAACCCATTAGGACATCCAAGGGTAGGTAAGTTTAGTAACTAATGACATATTTACCTTGTTCACTATTATTCTATCAGCATAGGCAATCTGCTCAACTGCCTCATTGACTACTCCTCTGGGCTTCTTCTCATCCAAATGAAAACCTGCATGCTTTGCATCTACCAATGTAACAACACCATCCAACTTGACATCATTAAAAATCTGATCCTCTGCATAAAATGTCTGGATTATAGGAGCTGGATTTGCCAAACCTGCAAAGGAATAAATAGCAAGGTGAGGCAATATAAATCAGAAAAAGAAGGGTCTACAGTTTTTAATTTGATCTGCATAAACTAGATTTCTGTAAAAGCAAAAAAGAGTTATCCAATTATATATTCGAATGACATGACACTGAAGAATAAACCCAATTGTGTGGTAGATGATATTAAAAAAGAATGCTCCTCTTAGGTGAAGCTTCCCTACCCTTTAAATGAACCTACCTTGCTCTATTGGTCCATAAGAGCAAGAATAATCTAGCCCTTGCACATTATACACAAACAAAAATAAACTACAAATGCATGATACCTGATGATCAGAAAACTTAACATAGGAACATGTAGCCTAATCTGGTAATGTCACGTTCTACAGAAACATATTGCATATGGAGCATTTCATGCACAAAGAGCAGGATGAATGAGTAGATCTAAGTTACAACTCTGTTATAAATAATCCTAAGAATGTTCCATTGCAAGAATTTTATGCATACCTGTAGTTTCTATTACAATATGGTCAAAATTTCCCTTTTTCTTTGAAACCAATTCACTGATCATGCGAACTAGATCACCCCTAACAGTGCAGCAAAGACAACCATTATTGAGCATAATTATATCTTCAGCCCCAGCAGCTTTTGCAGCAACCAATGATCCATCAATATCAACTTCTCCATACTGTAAAAGTAACAAAGAACTTAGCAGCAAAGATGGTATTTTACAAAGAAAAAATGCCAATAGATAGAATCTTAAAAATTATGATCCTATCATCAAAAGATCAAAATCCTGGACTGTTAATTAGATTTGATTTAACAAAATTAGTGGAACCATTTTCCAAGTTATTTACCATGTTTCAGAGGAGTGAACTAAGATCTTTCTTGTTCCAACGACTTAAAAACAAACAAACAGAAACTAAAACTTTCACATGCAATAGGATGTCTGAAGCATCGGAGAAACTATAGCCAATATTCTAGTCACCTATGTCAACAATAAAAAACAGTTTAAATCTGAAAAAATGGTTCAATTTTGCCCAATCTTCTCCTTATGTTCATATATCCTATCCTTCCCCAAATGTTAATGATAGTATCTTGAGAAAATGTAATGGTACTTACTCTTTTTTTTTTTCCCTAATTTTCAAGGTTCCAGTAAAGGCAATCATAGACAAGGACAGCAACATTTCAGAACAAAAGCAAACGCCACAACTTCAGTAACTAAACAAACCATGATCAGTTATGTGATTGTGCATCTTATTGAGAAATTAAACTTTTCTAGTGAATCGAGAAACAAAACATTCAGCATCAAAGAACAGTATGCATAGAGAAACTGCAAATGAAGACCAAAATGAAAATGAATTATCAGAAATTCCTAGTACCGTACAACCATATTAAGTTGTTCAATGGGTTGCTGACAAATTGCATGATCATATAGGCTACTGAAGAACTATCTGACATACCTCATTCTCAATAACAGCGATGCGCTTTCCATGATCAGCAGTCAATATATGGTTTAGCAAAGTTGTCTGTCAATGGAAAACATGGTCTAATCAAGTTACATAGAGCATCAAATACAGCTATGTAGCAATTAATTAACTAAAGACATTGATCAAAACAATATCATATTATTTAGTTGGCATATTTTTACTGGGTTCTTAGATTAGCAATGCATTCAGTCAATTAGTTAAGGTGCTTGATCATGTTATTTAGTTGGCATTCATCAATTACAAGCACCTTTTGTAATTTTTGAAATGAATTTTAGACTTTAGATAAAAGCAAAGAATCAGCAAACAAACAATTAGCAGTTTTCACAGTTTCAGCAACAAAAATTACAATTGGTGTGTGAGAGTAATATTCTGACAGAAGCCTCAGATTTTTTATCAGATGAAGAATCATTCTTGGCAACAAAACTTAGTTAGTTCCTCGTATTCAACGCATAATGTTAAGATTGAAACCGGATCATAGGAAATGTCAGATTATTTCAAGAACAAAGGTGATTGATGAACAAGAAAAGGTCTGCTGAATTCATCCTCTATGAATAAATAATAAATAAAAAATCTTGAGGCAGCCAAAATACAATGTCCAAACAGGCAACAATGACTCCTTTCTTATTTAAAGATTGTTATGCAAACAGGCCCACCAGAATTTGGATAAGATACCTAAACAGCCTTTGTTGCTACTCTGGTAGACTAGTACCAAGTTCAAATAAGATATAAGGCATGCTTTCCCTGAAAATGGATATGCCATGGATTTCAAAGTGACTATGGTGCTATCAGATTAATTACTCTTCCTCCCACCATTCCAATTATGCCAAGGGGTCTCTAAAGTGTAAATTTAAAAAATGCAGTCTTAAATAAAACCAGAACACTTAGCTCATTAATATAATTCCTGGCACATAAGGTCTATAGTCCTTCATAATTTACATGGATATAAAATTATCATAGATATCTTAGTACATCTATTTCAGCTGTAGCTTAAGAATGGTTTATTTGGACAGGAAGTTACTATCTAGGCCGGATCCTTTGTAAAACAATATATGCACATGTTATTGGCGGGTAGAGAAAATGAGGAGTCAGACAAATCAACCTATACATCTTACTATTATTGCTTTACCAAGACACCATTCCTCCTCATGCAAGGGCAAACTTTAAGATGCAGAAAGAACACCTTATGAAACGGATGCAATTAAAGGAAGCCAAAGTAGAAGAATAACAATATAATTAGACACTGGATTATAAAAAAATGCTTATGTAATCTAATACAGGAGAGAGTGCAAAATCCCAAAGGATTAGGGAGAAACCAGGTACAAGAAAAAAAGCATATCTAAGCTACCTCCACCAGCTTCTACAATCTTTATTCTACTAACATGGTCAAGACAGGATTTTTCTGTTGCTAAGCGTAGAAAGGGTGGCAGGGAGGAATCTTTTTTGTGTGACTTCAACAAACATAGAAGCATCCGCGAGCACAGGGGGTAACTGATAGCAAAGCCCTCGACACCTTACCTTCCCGGAGCCAAGGAACCCAGTTATAATGGTGGCAGGGATGCGGTCGTCCGGCGGAATCTTCGTCAGGAGGTCGGATCCCTCGTCCGTTGCGGCTGCAGAGGCAGCGAAGCGTCGGGCGTGTGCCCGCGATCGTGTCGAGATCGCGAGCCGTCCGGGGCCGGCCACAACCGCCGGCTTCGCCCCAACGGCGTATGCCCGGGCACAGATGGACACAGGTGTCCGCCGACGAGCGACCGCGAGGATCGAAGCCCGAAGGTTGAAGGCGACGGCGGTGTGCCGCCTCGCGAGGCCGAAGAAGGCCGTGGCCAAGTCCGATGACACCGCCGCCATGGCTGCGAGAGGGTGAGATAGCGCGCTCTCTTATCTGACCTCCTCGGCGTCCCCCCCACAACTGTGTGCGTCAAATGGACAAAATCCGCCCCGACATCAAGATTTTTGTTCTCCTTGTCGGATCTGGCAACTGAACAATCGAATCCGACCTGTTCGATCAACCCGAATCCGTTGCTCTCCCAAAACAGTATCGAGTTTCGTTGACACAATCCGCCCCGATATCGAAATTTTCACTCCTGTTGTCGGATCCGGCAATAGAACAACTGGATCCGATGGTTCATGAATTAGTGTATCAAGTTTGACTCAAATAGTCAAAATATCCACTAAAAATTTGTGTATATAGGAATAGAAATATTCCAATTTACTATACGAAATTAAGCGCTTCAAAAAACAAATTATCTGTCTCCCTATTTGAGGGTGAATCAGCCATGCTTCTCTCAAGGGCTGACGCGGCCTCCTAAGGACCTGAGGTACGTCGGATCGGTTCGCGTCCACGCACACCTCGAAAGAAACATGGGTATTTCTCTTCGCTGTGTGGTTCTCTGCAGCCTGGCCTGGCCTGGCCTTCATCGTGGAAATGGCCCGAAACAGAGCTTGAAGATGACTCCCCATGTCTCCTTCACGACTTTGCTCATCATCACAGCACAGATTCTTCATTCTGTTGGGCCGAGAACAAAGCATCGAAGTCACTACACAGAACCGATTCCATGTCAACAAAAGCAATACCCGCTTTGATCGATGGTAAGTGCGAGAACGCTAATCTCGCAGTGCCATCTTCCCCTTTAAGTACAGTCTGTGCAGCGAAGACATCATCGGTTGTTGGTGGAGGAACGTCCATGGAAGCTTCTCAGGAGGCGTCTGCTTCGTTTGGTAACCGGAGCCACTGTGACGAGGTCCGATGGGTGCTGCACGTCAAGCGCACTCTCGAAACCATGAACGAGGAGGACTACTCGCGAGGCCCTGTCTCCATCTTCGGCGTGCCTAAGAGCTTCCTCTCCGTCAAGCCGGAAGCGTACATCCCACAGATCGTCGCGCTTGGCCCGTACCACCACTGGGATCGCCAGCTCTACCAGATGGAGCACTACAAGCTCGCCGCCACCAAAAGAATCCAAAACCAGCTCCAGCTCCACGGCTTCACGTTCCAACAAATCGTCGACTACTGCGTGTTGAAGGAGCACGCCATTCGATCCTGCTACCACAGGTCAGCCTCGTCCCTACTTTTCGATTCGACATTCTTCGGTCTCGCGTTCTGAACTCCCAAGCTTATTGTCAGGCACATCGATCTCCATGTGGATACCTTAGCATGGATGATGGCGATCGATGCCTCGTTCTTGCTCGAGTTCCTTCGCAACTTCTCCTGTGAGAAGGGTCCATCGATGTCGCAGATGACGGACTTGATGGGGATCAAGATGGCTTGCAACTCGATCTTGAGAGACGTCGTGATGCTGGAGAATCAGATCCCACTCTTCCTAATTCGGAAGATGCTGTGCTTCCAGCGCTCCTCAAGTCAAGCTGCGGAGGATGAGCTCTCCATGATGTTGGTCAGGTTCCTGAAGGCGGTTTCTCCTTTCACGGCCACGCAGAGCCTCGCAAGGATCGTCCAAGTCAAGCGATACGCGCACTTGCTGCAGCTGCTCTACTGCATCATCGTCGCCGACGCCAAAGATATGTGCAGCAGCAGCAACAACAACAACGAGATAGAGTGTGTGATCGATGCGGCTGAATCGAACAACGAGCAGAATAAAGTCGATTCGCAATACTCGACGCAGCTTTTTGACTCGGTCTGGAGTTCGGCGTCCGCCCTACACATCATGAATCTGCTCATAGTGAAGCCCATCGAGTTCCTGTTGAAGGTCCCATGGCCTGTCGTGACTGCCGTATTCAGAGGGGTGAGTAGGTCCTACAACCCCATTCCAGGTGAACCATTGTTGGCCGAAGAGATCGAGATCCCATCCGTCACCGAGCTCATCAAAAGCGGCGTCAAGTTCGCGGCCACCGAAGGAGACTTGAGGACGATCGAGTTCGACACGAAGACCGCCACGTTCTACTTGCCGACCATGCTTTTCGACGCTAATTCCGAGGTCGTGCTGAGGAACCTGGTAGCATACGAGACGGTGGCGGAGCCGGGTCCGCTGGTCTTCACTCGCTACACCGAGCTGGTGAACGGGATCATCGACACCAAGGAGGACGTGCGGCTGCTGAGACGATCCGGGGTCGTCCAGCACTGGATGAAGAACGACGAGGAGGTGGCGAAGCTGTGGAACGGGATGAGCAGGTCGGCGAGGCCGACCAAGGTGGACTTCCTCGACAAGGTGATCTCCGACGTGAACGGCTACTACAATAGCAGGTGGAGCGTCAGGGCTCGGCGGTTCATCAAGAACTACGTGACCGGCTCGTGGCAGGTGCTGACGTTCCTGGCCGCCATCTTGCTCCTGTTGCTGACCTGCGTCGACGCCTTCTGCTCCGTCTTCCTCTGCAGCTCGCTCTGGTCGAGCCTCGTGTGAAGAGTCAAAGCGAGAAGAACCATTGCCTAATGTGTCTTCTTTTGCACTCGGTCTCGTTTACAGAACAGGAAACACAATCGAGGAGCAAAGAGATGATCTGTTCAATTAATTTAGCAACTAAATTAAAAGAATTTAAATCGTGTTACTAAGTAAGAATGATTTAATTTTAATTATTTTACCTCTAATCTGAATTAGGCCGAACTAATATATATACACACACACGGCACCCCGAAAATTTTCATGGGTAAAGAATAGTCGTTGCTAGTCGATCAATTGCAGCACGAATCTTGATGGTGGCCAAAGCGTGATGGACGCAGATGGTGCTCTGCAGTGGATGTGCTGTAGGGTCGAAGAGCTCGACCGTCTTTCGACCCGCCACCGTACATAAAGTGTTAGGGTTGGCGACCGGACTAGCCGAGGCGATACTGTCGTTCTGCTGCGGCGCTTGATTTGATTGAAGTCACATTGCTCCTCGATCATGGCGGAACAGGTTGGCGCGAATCTCCTTTGGTTTCTTTTCTCCAAGTACTTGTTTTGCCCCTTGCTGTATGTTTTGGATTTTAACGCCTGGAGCTGTTCCGTGACGATTCGAAGTCCTTTTTTTTGGTTTTTGGTACAAGAGGGCCGAGAGGGATCAATTTCCAATTTTGGAGTTTTGGGAACCCTAATTGAATGCTATGCGAGGTTCTTGGGCCGAGACGGTAGAACATTAGTTTGTAGAGTTTGCAGTCCTTGATATACTTTCGTTGAGGAATAATCGCTTGTTATCTAATGTAAAGTCTGATAAAGTCTATGTTTAAACTTTGTAAATCATGTATTTGCTATGGTTGATGATCAGAATGAGTCCATTTGACGTTGTAAGTTTCCAGATGAAATTGGTTTCATTTGGCATTTGTTGATTGCAAAATCATGCCTTTTTATTTAGGGAATATTGCATATTGGGAGTGATGTCCCTTTCTGACTAGCTGCTTCTTGTGCTTCAATTGAATCTTGTGCAGACTGAAAAGGCATTCCTCAAGCAGCCAAAGGTGTTTCTTTGGTAAGCCAGTTATTTCTTAATGTCATAAGCATTTTGTTTTGTTAGATTTTAGGATCATTGATATAGTGGACAATACAGCTCGAAGAAATCTGGAAAGGGGAAGAGACCTGGCAAGGGTGGCAACAGATTTTGGAAAAGCATTGGACTTGGATTCAAGACCCCAAGAGAAGCCATTGAAGGTGGGAGATCTAATTTCTCTGTCTCGTGTCACTTTTGTTTATCTCCTTCATATTTATTAGTTTGTGTCTCTTTTTGATGGATAATTCATCCCTTTAAAAATGCAATTTTCTTTGTCATTTACTAAGTATCTTGCTAATTATCTTCTGAGTTATGGCTGTGCTAGGAAATATCAAGCATACAATTGATTTGGAAACTATGTGATCTAACACAGATTTTTTGTAGTGTTAGTTGATCAAGTCATGATTTTAATTTTGCATAAGTTTGTTTCTCTTAAATCCTCTGTGTTAATAATTTTGGGAATTATAATCTATTGGTTTCATTCACTTTGATTTGTTGTTAATACTCCAATGTTTATAGTTATTTTTGTTTTATCTATCATTCTCCAATGGTTCACATATTTTTCTGGATAGCTTCACATTTTTTTCCTAGCGACACATGACAAGATATTTTAGGTAGTTTGAGTTTGACATCATGTAAATAATTTGAAATTGATATTTTGTACTGGATTTTTCTTCGATGCCCATGGTTATAATCAAGGTTTCAAACATCGGTTGGACTGATATACACTGTATTTACCGGTCACACTAAATACCAGTACAAAAATGTATATCTTGATACTGACACACTATTGTTCATTTTTCACTTTTATAATTTTATTCAATGGTATTGGATGATAGAGGTTGATATACTGCTCAATGTACCGGTATTCTGCATGTCCAATACTAGCATGCTATCTGTTTTGTCTCAATGGATTAGCAGCATTTGGGTTTGAATTTTTAGTTTTATTCATTAGTTATGTTGATTTAGAACTTTACTTATTGGCATATGTATATATCTGTATGTGTTCTCTCTATTAAGACAATCACATCAAATGTGTTGTTGTTTATGATGTAAATAATATATAGATTTGTCTTGTACATCACATTTCATACTTGCAAACTTAAGCATGTCCTTCATTTCACCAATATTTATGTTTTATTCTAAGGAAATAAAATGCTGTCACAGATAATTTTTTCATCTTTCTTTATATCTATTGGAAGCTGATAGTTGTAATATCTTGTGTGATACTAGTTTCTCCTTGATGATTCAGTTGTTTGCTTCAGCATGATTTAAGTTATAGAACACACTGATGCCAACGTGAAAGAATTGTGTGTTTTCTGCAGGGACTTATATTGATAAGAAATGCCCATTCACTGGAAATGTGTCAATTAGGGGCTGCATATTAGCTGGTACATGCCACAGTGCCAAGATGAACAGAACCATTATTGTACGCAGAAACTATCTTCACTATGTGAAGAAATATCAAAGGCATGTGAGACCTTTTTTGCTGTTTATGTTTCTTAGTGGGGATCTAATTTAAATTTTTTCTTCTGTTAGGTATGAGAAGAGGCACTCAAATATACCTGCACATATTTCTCCCTGCTTCCGTGTGAAGGAAGGTGACCATGTTATCATAGGCCAGTGCAGGTGAGCTTGTTTCTCAACTAGACATACTAACTTAGGTGAAATGCAGGCTTAGTTGTTTTTCCTATTAAAATGCCATGTCATTGGTCTCCATCAGATTCAGCCTTCACAAAGCACTTTGGGCTGGAATCCTTTTGCTGTCTAATGAGTTGTGGTGTGGAACTTTTTATATAATTATTCAATTGTATTTTTTTACTGAGGAGGAAAAAAGGTTGATTGGCAAGTTAACCCATAGAAAATGAGACACAATGGACACCCTTCTCGGTCGCACTTTGCTCACTAACCCATCTATGTCACTTCTCTCATGGATCAAACCATGGCACCTGAAGCATCCGGATACCAGGGCATAAGCTGTTAGTATTGCAAGAAATTCTATCGTCAAATTAAAGACTTACATTCAGTCATTTTGTGGTATAAAATTTTGGAACAAAGTACTGCATGTCCATTTTCTAGTGTATTAGGCCTTGGGATTAGAACATATGGTAAGTTATTCTGCACACACAAACTTGAGACACAATCTATGAATTGAAATATTGATAATTTCATCCTTCTGTACAGGCCCCTGGCAAAGACTGTGACGTTCAATGTGTTGAAAGTCATTCCAGCTGGATCAACAAGCGGAGGTGGGAAGAAGGCTTTTGCAGCAGTTTGAAGTGTGAGGGTCTCAGGCATTTTGGAGGACTAAGAGGCTGGATTTATAAAGATTTCTACATGGGATGCATTAAAATGTTTTAAGAATCCTCTATTAGGTTATCTTGGTTCAGTTCTATAACTATTTTCTTTCAAGCTTTTTGCTGTTACCATGGATGCATGATTGTTTATACTTCTTTGAACAATTCAAAATTCTTAATTCTGATCCGATGGCAGCGTTCCTTATGTTAATCAAATGGCCTTATGATGGATGTCTGAAATATCTGTTTACAAAATGTTGGTTTAGATATCAGAAAGGAAAAAAGGAGTGTTCTCAGTGATTGGATTCTGCAGTAGACACTCTGCCACTCTCAATCAGCTGTAAATTACTACCATTATTATTAGAATAAATGTGACATTTTCATATGACTAACTATTCACTGTCAAAATCGACTGCGCCACAGCTGAATCATCTCCAAACACATCACTAGCAGAAACCATCATAAAGGAAGAAAAAGGAGCAAAAATTATTGTCCAAGGAGAAGACTGAGCAGAAGAAGCAGAACCTGTAATTGACATGAGCTATTGAGGTGTCAGTCCTTTACCCTTGTCCTCATTCTTGCATATGGTAATTGATTACAGACACTTTACAGTCATGCAACTTCAAGTATCATTAATTCCTTGGGCATATTTCTACGACATCGATGAGACTTGGTATAACGATAAAGTTGTTCTTCCGCTCATTTGCAAACTCTTTTAAGAACTAATTTTACCATTAATATATAAACTATATTACCAACATACGAACACAGCCTGAGACTCAGAATGCGAAGGCCAACACCGTCATGGATTAACCTTCTAAAATGCTTCTGAGATAGTGCAGCCCTTCTGCAGAGATGCTTCTGTGCACTCTTGTCCTCTGAACCTTTGTCTTTGAAGGCAACTCCAAATGGAAGCATACCATCACAGCAGTCAGATTGTCCGTGGCACCTCGCCGTAACGCCTCCTGGACCAGCTCTTTGCAGCACAGTTTCACGTCGTTGTGTTCCCGGAGCTGCCTGCGTGCAAAGTCGACCGCATTCTGACTCGTGAAAACCTCCCATATCCCGTCGCTGCATATGATCAAGAACTCGTCTTCTTTTGTTAAGGTCACCATCTTGAGCTCCGGTTCGGCACTCAACGGTCCACCTGGCTCACCAATCTCTTTCATGCCTTGGAGATGCCAATCACCTAGAGCTCGGGTAACCTCGAGCTGGTCGTTCAAGTAGCCATAGTTGATGCTGCCGCCAAGAGATTTCACGCGTGTCTGTTCGTTGATGCAGCAAGGCCTGTGATCCTTGGACATCTCCACTGCCGTCCCGAGCCGGGAAAGCACTGCTCGGCAGTCCCCAGCATTAGCAACTAATAGAGATCTGTGATGAACAGTCATTTACATAAATAAGTATACCAACAATGGCAATAAAAGCAAAAAAGTAACAATCAAATATACCAGAGAGAATTGATGAAAAACAATAGGATAGGATGAGAAAAGAGCCCTGAGATAAAAAATGAGACCATAAATGTATAAGAAACAGAAAAGAATACTAAGTGGTTTCAGACAACAACAGTGATCTTGGCATGTATCTCCGCGGAGCACAAGATTCTCGGAACAATACCAAGTCCCCTTTGTTGGTGCAGACTCATCATTTCTTTTGACATGTGAATCATATTAAGCCATATTTTCCTCACCTTATCTTATAATGCAAATTTGTTCTGATGATGTAAAAAGGACCTTTTTATGTATTATTCTACTTATAAGGGAAGAAATAGGTTTATAGGACATTCAAAGAACTAATATAAAACAGTATGTCCGAGTTACTGCAAATGCACTTCTAAACAATGCAACAAATTCAAGCATACAAAAGCGATAAAACTGAATCTCACGGTCAAATCCAGCAACATTTGTAAATCCAATTCAGTGATTAGGAAACACACCTCCCAAATATCATCGCAGTGAGTGCAGTGGTGCCAGAAGACAGTGAGGATTCAAGATCACACGTCCTTGCAAATTGAGTGTCGGTTTGCTTAAATGACCTTGTGACTACCTTCTCGAGCTCAAGAGGGAAATCAGCATCTTCCACAATGACCCTAGGTAAATTATCACGGACAAAATGTGCAGCACCTTGTCCTCCATGTCCATCAAAAACCTAAAACTCAGAAAGATGAAGGATGGTGCCAAAATAAATAGCCTCTTCATGAAAATTGTGTTGTAATAAGCAAAAGAAAGGAGCATCAACATTTATCATAATTGTAATTTCCTGCCAATATTTATTTTGCTTAAGTTTCTTTTCAGTTACATGAGCATAACAATTTTTATTTTGAATAATCATGTAAATTAAAATCAAGCTTTAGAACCCAATCATTCAAATCCATTCAAAGATGGCATCAGTCTCTCAAAATTTTTTGGTGACCTATACATAGTCGATATGGTTCATGCCAATGCATTAATTCCAGCATCGTTGTCATCTGACTCGAAGCACCTTCCACCACTTTCCCTAGATCCTATCGGTATCAGAGCACTGTTTAGATACTTTTCCTGCATTATAATTTAACTTTCAAGTCCGTAGGCATCGTCGAACTATGAATAAAAATCTGACTTATTATAATATGAACTTCTTCCTCAAACATAATTGAACCCTTATTTATGGGCAATAGCAAGCTCCACATCGTTTGCCTCAAAAACATTTGGTTTACCATTCCTATTCTGTATTTGCATAGCACATGCATAAGAAAGAAAATAAATGTGATTAGCAAGGACTTACTCCATAGAAAGAAATGACACTCTCATCGGTAGAATGATATCCAAACTTCTTAGCTAGATCGGATATGCACACATGAGTATCTTCCATGCGATCACGACCGCCAATATCAGACCACTCTCCTGATCGGATGACTGGGACAAAATCCACAGACTCTTTTAGCCCGCTGTTCACGGTGGTTGAATTCTCGCATATTCTCTCCATCTGCCAACATATTAGCATGGGCAAGCCATAATCAGCAAAGAAGAAAAATCATTACTAGTGCATGCCACGGAAATCTGATCAGCAAGTGGTAATCATCTATCTTTGTGTTGACAAACCTTAACATATTGTTTACTTAGAACCTGTAAAACCTTCTGAATGCATAAGAAAGAATAGAATTCTAGAAAATAACAAAACTAAATACAAAGTAGAAAATAGAATAAGTAGCTTAAATTAAGAAGGAAAAGAAAAGAAACAGCAAGCACATGTTGACTACGTCGTGAAGTATGTGGTTCAGCGAAAATTTAATAACACATTTTGTCAAGCAAATATGGGCATTTCTTGTTATTCTCGTCTCATTTCCGTTCCTTTGACATAAAGTACTCATCAGATTTCTATTCAACTCATCATTTAGAAAAGGGAAAAAGAAGGAAGCAGCCTTAGAATCAGTCTCAGCAGAAACCACCTGCAGATCAAGATTCTCTGCCAAGATCCAAGAGTCAGATTAGTATTGGAAGCTCATCCTAATAGCTGATGGCTTTCATCAAACAGGCAGCCCTTTCATGAAATTCTAGTAAATAACTAAAAGGAGGAAAAGCAGGAAACCTCGAGAAGAATCAAAGGCTTGAGCAACAGATCCATTTAAACTTTTGTCTGCCAATGTTGCAGAGTCATGGAAAAGCACAACGCAAACCCAAATTTGTTTACAGAATTAATCAGATACTTAACCCAGAATTTTGCTTGCCACACAATCATCATGGAGTTTAGATTTCATATGGGCATATGAAACACTACTACCTAATAGTCTAACCTTTCATCACAGAGGAGTGGAGCAGAATACACAATCATCTCTCCTTTAGTACAGCCATGGAACACCATCAAACCCAAAGACAACAAGCCACCAGCCAAAAAATAACGGCACAACCCACCATGGTGATCAAGATGCATTAACCAGACAAGAAAAGCCATCTAAAGACGATTTCGACAGATTTATGTTCATCAAAGTTCAAAACTTCCAAAGAAACAAGATCGTCCACAATCTAGAATCCAATCGAACAACCAGATCACCACCAAAACATAGACTCACATGGAGTAATCTATCCCAGACAGCCAATGATCTACCATCTGACCGAGAAAAAAGCCAAGAAAGGCAAGCACTTGGAGATCTTACACAGGGCTTTTCGGAATCAGGGCTCCTCTCGGTCTGGTTCTCGGAGAACTCCAATCCTTCACAACTCTCACCCTCCTCAACCTGGTTCTTGTCGACGCACATGGTGGTTGCAGCAGGAATTATTGGAGACAGGACTCGTTGGGCGTTTTGACAGCTTCGGTCAAGAGGAATCAGAGAAAGATCCGCGGAAGGGAAAAGAAAAGAATGGGGGAGGAAGGCCGGAGGGGGAAGCAGAGGAAGGAAGAAAGGCAGGAGAAGATTCCGAGGATGCCGAAGCGGTCGGTGGGATTTAAGGGGGGAGAAGAAGCGTGTGGCGTTCCTTTCCCTTAGTGTGGGTCGAGTAGATTTACCGGTGTCAGATCTTTCTTGCTTTCCTTATTAGCCGCAACTTTTCACATTTTCTAGAACACTTTTTTAATTTAAAAATATTTTAATTATTCCTTAAAATCTTTTACCTATCACAGTGATTTAATATGTTACAGTAATTTTATATAATAAAATATTATTAACCTTAATTAAATTAAAATATGATTTTTTTAATAATATTTATTTTTTAAAATAATAAAAAAATATTAAAAATTGATTAAAAATGAGCGAAAATTTTAACAAAATATTATTTGAAATAAAATAAAAATATTTTTTGAAAAATATTTAAAATATATTTTGATATTTTCGAGGGAAATCAATCTTTCCTAAAGGAAAAAAGGGAAAGGAAAAGGGGGGAAGATTTGACGGCTCATTAGGTGGATGCTGGGCCTGCCACGTGTCGGCAGCGGATCTTTAGGCTTCTCTTGGTCGGGGACACGTTTCCCACAACGTTAACTTTTCCCTCAACGGTAATTGGAGATTTATTTCAGCAACACTTTCATCTCTCTGAAAGATTTTTTTTTTCTTTTTGCTCTAAAAAAACATGTGGATTTATTGTTTAATTTTTTATAAATATAAAATAATAACTCAAGAAAAAGAAAATTGTGATGGAATATTACAGAAAAATATCTCTTTTATTATTGTGTTCGAAATATATCACAGGATGACTGCACGCAGTCTTCTCTCTTTGTTTCAGTTTGGATCTTATCATCTCAGGAAGACTCGGCGTTGACTCGTGATGAGGTGATTAATATCATTAATGAGAAAGGAAACTTCATGAATTCAGATCACAAGTCAGCGTATAGGGAACTGAAGCAAATGTTGTCTTTCCGAATCAGGTGGGCTCTTCATAGCACTTCTCGTGCTCATCCTGAGACGACAGTCTTCCATCGTCTCCAGGTGAAATGGTCAAGATGAAGCTTCAGGGTTGTCACTATAGCAAGCATCACAAGCAGTTCCAGTCACAGCTTCGTTTCTGCTCAACCCTAGAATTTGGACCAGTGAGGCCACACCTTAACATTGCTGCACATCACTAAAGGACAAGAGTCTCAGATTCTTTTAGATTGCCTCAATATAGTACCAAAAGAACAGCCAAGCCAAGAAATGGTTTTGTATGACTGTCATCCTTCATCATTGGGGGTAATCTTCAGGAAAAGGAAAGGCTCAAAAGGATTTGTTTGAACTTCCACATAATTGGCAACACAAGTGACCACAAATAATGGAATCTTCCACATGAAACAACACGATCAGAGTTACCGAGTGCATGAAAACTCCAAAGCAATGGTAAAGATAAAGAACATTTAGTTGAAGATCTATCAGAGCACAACAAAGTGGCTATAGTTTCTTCTAATAAAATAGTGTGTGGTGGGTGAGTCAAGCAACAGCTGAACAACAAGAAATGGCACTTGCTGAGGTGGCCACAAGGCTAAAATGTTGTATGTGTAGAAGTTGAGTGGAACATTCGTACATATATATGGCTAATGAAGTTTCCTGATACCCCTTTTTTTACACAATAGATGTGGATTGATAGTGATTGACACAGAGAGGGAACATGCAATTACCATTGACTTCTTCTATAAGAAACTGAAAATGGTGAGGGGATTAGGTGGGTGTTTCAATGGTCAACCAAACTAAATTAGGGATAATCTACAAGTCCAAGTTAGGTTGTTTCTTGGGCAAGTGAGTTATTTGTTGGAAATACTATTTAAAATTGATTGTTGTAATCCTTACCAGGGTATATAGTTTCAAATGATACCATTCGGTACGGGTGGTACGTACCGATCCGACAGATTACTAATACGCGGATCATTCGTTACCGAGCGGAACACTTAAAAATATCTCGTATTAGACGATAATGGATTATATCGGGCGGTAACGATCGAAATTTCGATCGTTACTGTCCGGCACACTTCAGTAATAGTCGAAATTGATCGTTACAGCTTAGTAACAGTGCTCCAACTGTCAAATTAACCGTTAGAGCTCTTTCTCATATGTTTTTAAACATTTCTTCACCCCTATTTCACTCCATTTCATTCTCATACTCTCTTAAATTATCTCAAACTATTTTTTTCTCATATTTGTGTTCTTCTAAACTCTACAAAATAACAATTTATGAATTGAATCGAAGCTAATTCGGAAAGATTAAAATGAAAGAACTTTCTAATCAAAAGATATATATTTTCTTTCTTTAATTAGAGAGTAATTAACATCTTTAATATTATGATTAGTATATTTAATATTGATTATTTTTAAAATTAGATACTATTAAGTATCTAATAGGTGTATGACTCGGTATATCTAAATTAAGTATATAATTAGATACTATTGATTAATTCGAATGATTTTACGTAGATGTACCGTTCGATATATGATACCATACTGTATCGAGACAAGCTAAAAAATATTGGTACGATACAATATTTTAATCTTTCATCCTTACGGTGCCAATCCTTTTAAGTTGTATTGGTCCTTTGTAACATGTTGCTTCTCACCAGAATGCATCAAACAATGTCATATATTTTTGAAGTTTGAATGATGATGGTTGACTCACTGAAATGATTGGAAATTAATCTTTTTAATAATTTTATTCCCATTATTTTCTCTGTATATCAACTTGATGTTTATGAAACCTTCAAGGTTAACTTAATTAAGCCTTACCAAACTGTGTTGCAAATTGGCTCTTGTTGCAGTCTATAGATCATTATACCTTGATGACCACCTAATGGTATAGTCAGATGTATCTATGATGATGACGTGACTTCAAGTTAAGATTGCATTGGTCTTAAACTTTGTAAGTGTCCAGGAAAATTTAATTGAAAGTAGCAGAAGAAAGTTCATGCATCAAACCATGATAGAAAATTCTAACTAAGGTTAATTTTATATATACATTCAGAGGCAGATGGTCATATGATCCAAAAAGATGATGTGAAATGTGATAGAAAAAGAAAACATGTTAGGTGATTCATAATCATCAAGAAAGGCTTATGGCAATATCGCTCTCAAGAGGTCCTTCCTTACTACTTTTCAACATGAAAGCTGCAAATCTCTGCCATATGCTCAACAATCCAATAAATAATATACAAAAAAAAGATATATAGAACCATTGTAATGCTAGACACTTGTCATTGACCAGTAAGTTGCTAGGTTGACTCATCGAAACTACTTGTTCTTGGACTGATTGATGAAATGGCTAAACAATTTCAATTATATGATATATCATACGCAGCAATCAAGCTGATGTTTTTGCTTTTACCTTCCAATCAACATATATTGTTTCTTAAGAGTATTGCAAAGACATAATTAGCACCCTTATAGTGTTAGAATCGAGACCATTTTTGGAGCTGTGACTTGTCGTCTAATGCTACGAAGATTCTCGGGACCCATGAACACATTGCATGTTGACACAAATCACGACCTTTCTTTTCATCAATGCCACCACCTACTGGACCAGGAAATGAAGAGAAAATCTCAGTAAATTTTCTGCTGCATGACAGTTTATCTGCATGGAGTTGAAACCAAATGTTGCCTTGAATGAAGCAGGTGTGAGGTGTGTCTTATATATACCTCTCTCTTTACAGTACAAGGAGAAGAGTTGGATCATCGAGAGAGCCCTGTAGAACCTAATGGATCTTTGCATGTCAAACACAGGTGAAAAGCACGAGATAAAGGAGTTCATGTAGGCGCAGAGAAAGCTTTGGTGTGACCCTTTCTACAGATCGAATGGAACATGAAACAAGTACGCAGAAACTACCTAAGGAAAGGAGAACTGAACATTCCTTCTTGTATATCTCGAGCTCGGCTTGATGACATGGTGGTTTAGAAGTAATGAAAAGAAGAACTCGGACAGTAACAACTCACAGACAAATAGGCACATAACAAGAACTTGGAGAGAGATCTACAGAAGTATTAAGTGTTTGGACTGAGAGAACGTTGATAGCTGCATAGTAATTTACTGCGACCAACTCTGAACTATTCCTTCATGCACTGATGCCAAAGGAGGGTACCATGTGCTCGCTCAGTTGATCTGACCTCCTCGCCCTTCGCTCGGTGGTGGCCTCCTGGGCCTCCTCGCTGCCTTGGTCTCGACCCCAGATCCATCTGCCTGCGTTAGATCTCAGATAATACATCACTAAGACACAGCTGATCACATGAAGAACAGACAAAGTCAACACGAACTACAGCGAGTCACAGAGAGAGAGAGAGAGATTACAGTGGGGTCCATGTCATTAGCTTGATCTCCCGTGGAAGGATCCTGAGCACCACCACCGGAGGAAACTGAGCAGCCCAGGCAGCGAGCACAGGCTCCCACGATGTAGAGCAACAAAGAGCAGGGATGATTGCCAAAGCCAAAGGATCCTGTCGCAGGAGATCCTTCGGACATGCTGGATCTCTCTTGCCTTCCTTTCTCTCTCTCATGAAAACCCTTATCTTCTTCCTTTATGCGTCTCTGCCTCGGATGTGGTCTTTCAACGCCGCACTATAACCTACTACAGCCAGATACCGGGACCATGTTCAATGACCTATGTACCCTGTGCTTTCCCTTACATGTCTTTGTCATTTGCAGACATATACATATATGTACGTGAATAGAATATAAGAGTCAACAGCATTCGTCCATCCAATTCACACTCACATACATATGTAATAGCTGACATCCAGTCAACCTTTGCGTGGACATGGTGATGGATTATTCGCAGTCAGGCGAGTGTTCCAATCCCTGCACAAACCAGTGGAAACATATGAATGCACACCCAAGCGATGTCGTTCACTTCCTGTTCTCATGAATGTATTTCTCTGTGTTGAATCCAGGAAGGTTTATATATACTAGACGTAGTTTGAATGTGTTAGGGGTGTATGAGTAAATTTGAGTTGAGCTTAGTGAATAGGCATGACAGGTGAAGGTCACCTAATCTGAGAAGAAATGCCATGAGGTCGAAGGAAACAAGCACTACACAACACGAACACCTCGGCAAGCACACCTAACGCGATCTCTTTGGTATAGTTGTCCCTTGGAATGAGAATATAGTGAGGCAGGAGAATACTTCGGTCTCTATCACAAGAAGTTTACTTGGGTTAGGGGAGGAGAAATCTCTCTCTCTCTCTCTCTCTCTCTCTCTCTCTCTCACACACACACACACACACACACACACACAC